AATAGATTTGATTTTGTGTTTTGAATATTCACATTGCCTTATTACATAACATGTTATGAGTTTGTTGCATAATTCTACTTTACATAGCCCAGTCAGTAGAATATACATCTAATACAGGATGAAGCACCATATAAGATTCCTGGGAAAACCCTAAAAAGTCTAAGACTCGTGTTTTGCAAATTTGATGAACGAATATAAGATAGCTTAGGCTTAAAACATGGGCTTAAGGCAGACCACTAAAAACCTATGGAACTTTGTTTGTAATTAAGCCCTAATAAAAATAATATTACTTCTAATAAAAAAATTAGCGCAGTAAATCTCCACCACCATTTGCTCCTGGACTCATAGTCAGTACCTCCTTTCAGCTTTACACCCTTGGGCTCTTAATTCCTTCTTTAAGATGTGTCCTTCTTACATCTGGCTTCTAATAATTCCATTAAGTTTATAAACATGTGCTAAGGTGAGCCCTATACAGAAATCTTTTTTTTTTAAACACAGAGGGAATGTCTGTTGCAATTTCCTGTTTGCTTAACATAATTGAAATGATAGTGATTCTTGAAGCCATTAAATCAGCTATTTCTTGCACTGAAAGAGGGCACTTTGCAGGATTTTTCATTTTCAATCTGAGATTTTTCATTTACTACTAAGGCTTTCTCTTTAATAGTTTCAAAGTCTTAACATGTTGGGAAAAATTGTGATAAAACCAACTTTATTATTCTGAATCATTCACTGTTTACCAATTCTGTTTGTGCTGATTCATTTAAACATAACACTGTAGCAGAACAGAGTATTTAATTTTGATGTTTAAAAGTTAACAATTTGATAAAAATGTTCTAAAATTGATTGTGGAAATGGTTATACTGTGAATATAATAAAAAATGCTTAATTGTATGCTATTGGTGAAGTGTATTATGTGAATTATATTTTAATAAAATTGTTGTTTTAAAAGTTAGCAATTTCTTATTTCTTGTAAAAATGAAATTAAAACAAATGTGAAATTATGTTGCCAAAGTGATTGCACTCTTTCTTTTTTCTCATTAGGATCCTATTGTTAACTTTGAACTTCCAATTCATTTGGAGAAATGGTTTCCTCGTCATGTAATAAAGACCAAACGGGAAGATATTCGAGAGCTCATCTTAAAACTTCATTTACAGCAACAGAAGGGCAGCAGTAGCTAGTTAATCTGTACAAACATGACACAGATGTTCTCTAAGATTACTGGAAAGCCTCTTACCAGCATTTGTGTTAGCCAGCTCACAGAGAAGAAAATAACTTGCCGTAGTTTTATAAGTCATTGGAACATTATTTAAAATACATGAGATATATTATTAGAGTTGTTGGGATCTCATAGATGGAGTGGGAATGGGGGTGATATAGATAAACTTATTAGATATAAATTAAAATTTTATAAATATTTCATATTTTTCTGAGTAAATATGCTTGGATTATGCAATAGTATATGTAATGTGGGAATGTTTTTGTAGATAATAAAACTTATGTGATCTGTACTTCCACATAACTGGGTGTTGAGGGGAGTTAAAGCCTCCCTGGTGCCAGCCCCAATGCTTGTCAAATTTGTTGACAAGTCACATCATATTGTAATTCTATTCTTTGCAGCTCAAGCATGCAGTATGAATACTGTGTATTTTTTAAAAAAAGAATTTAGTATCAAGGCTTCAGAAAATGCCATTTACGGCATCCCTTCTGTATGTAACAAAAAGACATTCGTAATGTTAGGAAGATGATAAAAATTCGCTCTTTTAAGGTGCAGCTTATTATTCTCAATTGCTAAATGCAGTTACTCAGCTCTATTTTTTTCATTTCTTTTGATGTCATATGTGGGTATAATTTAGTTCATTTGTTCAGGGTAAACCTACAACAAAAAATTTTAGCTGTCCAAAATAGTTTTTAAAAAATTGTACTTGTAGCTCAACTTAGTTTATTTGAGGTATAGTTATATAAATATTCACTGTTTCATTATCATTGAATATATGTATAGTTTCTGTAATATAGAAGATAAAATTGGTGTCCTCATAACTTTAACAAAGAAAACCCTCAGTCCTATTTATTAATGGTTAGAATTAAATATATAATTTTATAACTCAGTTTACCCAGTATTCATCTGCAAAGCCAGATTGCTCTCATTGCTTTTATATTTTTAAACATAGTTTTTAGAGACCTATGATACTCATGGAGCTTAATTTTTTATTAAGTATTCAGGTAACAGTTCTGAATTCATGTGATGATGGTGGCATTATATATGATTAAACACTTCAGAACTTTCTAATGTTATCAGGAATATTTTGAGGGAGATATAATTATATTGTATTTTCTCAGATAAGAAAAATGTTTTTTAACAATATTATTTTAATCTTCTGTTTTAAGCATCCCTTGGATTTACATTATAACTATGTAAAGCAGTGAAGCAAAGGCAATTTTAGATAAAGCTAGAAAGTCTGAACGTTTTATTTCAAAATCATGTGAATTGAGGTGGTCATTTAAGCCTCAGTATCCTTAGCTTTTGTTGATTTTATCACTATCTTTATATTATTACAAAGATATTTGTCTTTTGGAGATTTCATATAAAGATGGCTATAATTACATATTTTCTTTCCCAATTTGTGTGTGTTTGGGGGGCACTTTTAAAGCTGACTGTTGTTTTGTACATCTACTTTTGGGAAAGCAAGTGTATAAGACATCTTGTGATTTCTTAACGTTTTTGTTTGTGTGTTCTTCAAAGATACCACTGTCCTTTATCGTGTTTTGAAAATTGTTTAAAATTCATTTTCCTAAATTAATGTGCAAATAATGCTTTGAGGATATCAATGTTTTATATTAAACATATTTCCAGTTCATTAAATTGAGGTGTAATTTTTTTCTTAAGAAACATGAGCTACCATTAGAAGTAAATTTCCAATTGTATGCTGCTCTGTGCATATCGTGAAATTGATGCTTACATTAATTTTTCTTCATATTTTATTAAGCATATAGTTTGAGTGTCATTTCAGTTCAGGGAAATTATTTAACATATACTGGTAGGCATTTTGCTAGGCACAAGAAATGAATGACAGCTTTTGTTCCTGAGTCATTTATGGTCATGTGAACATTTAAAATATCCTCCGGTAAGAACAACCATAGGGCTTCTTTGGGAATGCAGGAAGGAGCTGAGCTAGAGAGGGGTGTGTGTGTGTTAGTGAGAGGAGGTAGAGAGGTGGTGAGAGGGTCGTTAGTGAACAGAGCAAGCCTTCCTAGAGAAGATAATATTATTTTAAATTTACAGCTCTTGGGATGTAAAAAAAGGAGTTATTATATAAATCATATCCAATCACCTAATTACGACTTTAAAAAAGTTAACCTTTTGAAATCGACTTCTTTTGTGGCAAGAGGAAAAAGGGGTTTCAACTTGGCATAGAGATCCTGTCCTTTATCTTGTTCCAGCCTGTATTCTGTTTTCATCTTTCCATCGTCCTCTACTTTTGCAGTTGTATAAAGTTATTCACTCGTGTGTTTAGATTCTTCCCCCTGCAGTCTCTTGTAACTAAGCTTGTCCCTTTGGAAATTTGGAAGCTTTGCCCTTGCATTGTTAAGAGCCATGGTTCTGTGTGTATGAGGCTTCTGTCTGCTTCTGTGGCCTGCTCCCACCCAGGTGGTCTCTTCTATGACAACTTAGTGCATCCTTCTTGGGGGCTGAAAAAATCAGTCAGGACTCCTATAAAGACTCCAGATGAAGATGTACTTTACTTGAAATTATTATTATAACACTGTTTCCTGTGCCGTAATTTTCTACAAAGTAAGCCTGGAGCCATGTTTTGTCCCCTGAGTGTGAATGTCACTTTGAACCCAAGTCTAAAGATGCTTGTGTGGAGTGGGTGTTGTGACATTGTCCTGCCATCCCTTTTCACCAATTCTTGTGGACTTTATTTTTTCAAAATTGAACTCAAATGTTACTACCCCTACACCTATTCAAACAATACTTCATTCCCTCTCCTGCTCCCCTGCAACAGTTTGTATATACTTCTCTAATTACTTTTTAAATATTATTTGTATACATGTTTTTCTCTTTAGACTGTAAGCTCCTCAAAGACTGGAAACATTTTTCCATTTCCCGATTAAGTATGTTAGTAGCGTATAGTAAACACTCAGACAATTTTGTTGAGTCAATAAATGATTTGTAACTAAGTTTGGATGAAGGAATCTGTATTGGTTATCTCTAGAGCACAGAGTTTTATGTTTAGTTTCTCATGTGCTTATGATTTTGGGACATTTCTTGAACCAAAAAAAGGTTCAAAGACCATCCTATGAGATTTTGAAATATTACCTAAAAAGAATCCCCTTAAATACAAACTCAAGGAATATTTTTTTCTGAGTAATTAAACATTAGAGCATAGAACAAATCTGCCTCATCTGTCAGTAAAAATCCAAAATTCCTGCCAAAACTTTCGAGGTCTTCTATAATCTCAACCTTTTGAGACTTCATTCCCAACCTATTTGCTGTATGCTCCTATCCTGCTCTAGCAACGGCCTTCCTGTTTTCTGTATAAACAGTATACTTCTCCACCTTACTTATCACGACTGGAGATTTCTTTCCTAACCCTTAGTTTTTCCCACTAACAATCCCTACCTCTGCCCACTGAAATACTGAAATGCCAAGTAGGCCATTCAAGGCCCGGCTGAAATACCTGCCCCCTGCTTCCCACCCCCGCCCCTTGCTTTTACTAGTTAGAGTTACTCCTGCTTTTGGATTCCTATGATACAAACTTACAATGGCTATCACCTACTGCTTTGTATCATAGATGCAGTTATTCTAAGAGTGATGCAGTTAAAAGTTACAAATCCAACAAAGGTCAAGTTAAATTGAATTTGAAAAATGATGACCATATTTAGAAACAAATGAACCCAGATGAATTTCTTACACTTTTTTTTAAAGTACAGGTTTCTGAAATTATATATTTTATAGAACATAATGTAATAAATGTTTTAGAAGCTTTTATGTCAATTATTTTAAATGTAAGTTAATGGAAAATTTATTTTGGAGGTTGAATAAAATAGAATTTCAAAGCTTGAAACATCTTTGGACTTTGTGAACACCTGCAATATAAGATGATTACTGTTTACAAAGTTTACTAGTAATACAAATACATTAGTTTACAGAGAACTTTAGTATCTCATAATTCTTAACAATGACCCTGTGATACAGGTAGAGATTATCACACCTAATTTCTTTGGTGAGCAAACCAGCTCAAAGAGCTTAGGTTATTTACCAAAATCGAATATTAAGTGATAAAACCAGGGTTTGAGCCCAGGTTTTCTCAATCTAAGTACAGCAGTCTTTCTAGATTACTATGATTCTCAGAAGATTTTTTAGCTTTTTGGTCAAGGCTGTCAAAAAGGATAATTTCCAACTAATATCTGTTACCTAAGAGTTGTCCCTTGTTCTGAATTGACAACATGAAACTTTTCATAAGACTAAACTTTGGCTTAGCTAATAAAATTTTCGGCTTTTTTCTCCTACTCATACAATAAATTTGGCAAATAAGTTTCTTATGAACTTACCAGTATTTTGCAAAGACAACTATGCACATGTATTTAATGGTCATTTAGATTTGTTAGCTTTTATAAAGGCTGAAAATGTGGTTTATTTGAGGCTATATTGAAAAAAATATACTTGAGCTTTTCCTAAAGCATAAAATAACATGGAGTGTGATTTAGCTAACACAATTAGTCAAGGAATCTCAAGAGAAATGTGGTTTAGATCTTTACAAAGCACTTTTTTTTCCCAGAGAATGTTCCCAGCAATAACATGAAATAAAATATAATTTCATTGCTATTTGATAGTAAATCCTAGTTTCCACAGGGATTCTGACTAATTTAATTGCTTTCTGCTAGTTGTATTTGATTTAAAAACTGTTCTAATATAGAGAATTTCATCTGCAGAGAAAATCTTTACTTGGTTAAGAGTTCATCATATAGATAAACATACTGGGCCTCACATTTGATGGCAAATGAAACAACAAAGTTATCCCACAGCTGTCATTTATGTTAACTGCTTAATATGTTCCAGGCACTATTCTAAGCAATGTGAAGATTAAGTTAGTTAGTTAATTTAATCTGCACAGTAGCTCTACCATAAGCTTACTATTTCTGTTCTATTTTATACATAAGGAAGGAGACAAAATAAGTGATTTTTTTCTGTCAAGGAAGGACATTTGCAAGAAAGTTTCATTACAAAAACTAAATTTGTTATGTACGTAGCTGTGTATTATTGAAGTAGGTAGATATAGTCAGTCTGAATATTATATGCTTATATATCTTAGTCCCTAGGAAAACCCGGAGAACATGTGACTCTATCAGGTTCAACTAATAGATTCAGAAAAGCTGGAAAAATCAGTGAATTATATGTGAAACACATTATTCTTAATGGACTGCTTGTTAAAGGCAAGGAGAGTGTCAGTAAAGAGCTTAGCTAGCTAGATTAGAATAAAGAAATTGTCTCTCTCCATCTGTCCTAATTAGCTTAACTCACCTGCTTTTATAGCATGCTGGTTATTTCAGAAAAGAAGTGAGAGCTGCTTTGAAAGGACAACCGTTTTTCTTTATGCTAATTTATAATGGTTTTGAAGTGGTTGTTCATTCTCAAACACAGGTTTTTAAATGTTAGGTCTTTCCTATAACTCTTTGTTATTGGAAGTTTCAAGGATTTGGACGCTCAGTTAAGGATTTTGTCCTCTCCTCATTCCTTTGGTTTTGGCTCAAATGATTATGTTTCCTTTTTTTGGGAAGATTTCTTTGGGTATTTTGATATTTGTCCTGATAGAAGGAGACTTTCCATCATTAACAGGTATTTAAAACTCTACATTTGTTTTTATCCTTCCATATCTGTAGTATATTCTCTTTAAAAATAGCATTATTTGATGTGATTTCTGTAAGAAACTGAATCAAATGCTACTTTACTAATTTTTGATATTGCTTCATTTAAACTATTTAAGAAAGTTTCCAATAATTTTGGTTTTCCCTCCTCTTCGGTAATTCTGGTTTAAACCTTTTATTTATTTTTTTGAAATTGGATGTATACTTACTTGATTTTTGATAACAATCTTGAATTAAAGGAGTGGGAGTTAAATGGAAAAACATTGAATGCTTCACTCCTCCTTATGCTTAGATGTGCACGCCTATGATTTGAGCATTGGCTTCTGAATCCTAATGTAGCACAAGTGTCAGTTTTTCTTTATTTGTTACCTTTTATACTGTATCTTCATTATCAGAAGACTTGATTATACTTTCACTTTGTAGCACAAACCTACTTATCTTTAGAGGAGATCCAAGAACCCAAGAGTGCAGTTTCTTTTCTCCTGCCTGAAGAATCAACAGACCTTTCTCTAGCTACCCAAAAGAAACAGCCTCTGGACCGCAGAGAAACTGAGAGACAGTGGTTACTCAGAAGGCGGAGATCTATTCTGTTTCCTGATGGAGTAAAAATCTGCCCAGATGAAAGTGTTGCAGAGGCTGTGGCAAATCATGTGAAGTATTTTAAAGTTCGAGGTAAGCAAACATCCCAATCCTTCAGCTCCATAGTGAAATTCAAACATAGTTCAATCATTTGTTAGGTAACATTGTAAGTCAAAAATTTTGATAATTTAGACAGGACTGAGCCAAAACTACCTTTCTGTTGCTAAGAATATAATATTAATGTAACGTCAGAGAACAGTTTACATTAAGAGAGGAGGTATTTTTTTTCCCCAGTGCCCTTCAATTAAGGCAATAGTATCATTTAATAATGACATGCACTTAACCAAAGGAAGAACACTTTCATGATTTGAGTTTGTAGGCTTTTGGTATGTTATGTAAGAAACTTTTTTCACATGAGGACAGTCACAATATGATGTCTTTCATTAATTTCAATAACATATTCAGAGAGGAAATGTCTTAAATCTTTTTAAGCGCTTCAAAAATACCAGTTTATGTTTTGGGCTACATTACTTTTTACTTCTTCATTACAGTAAATGCCTAAGTATACCCACAAAACAGATTTATGAAAGTATACTTATCTGCTTGCCTATTTATTGATAGTTACTATATACATAAAATATAATCAGTTTCTATATTTTATAGTTCAGTTATTCTACAGATTGACACTGGTTCCTCTCTGGTTGGTACACATAAAACTTCTTACATCTAAAATGATGGCATTTTTCGAAATAAACTCTCACATTTTATTTTGTTTTTAATTAAACAGTATTCTTGATCTCATACCCTTTTAGGTAAATTCATTCCATTTCTCATATATTTACTAACATTGCTTTACTGACCTTAGTATATCCCTTAGACATTTGAAGGACTCCCAAACTTTGCTTTTTGCTGCTCAAGAGCCAATAAAAAGCTATAATATGGATGTGATGTTAGTAAACAAGGTGGAGATAGATGATGAAGTGATTGTAAAATTAAGCTTTTAAATTCATGCATTTATTCATTAATTCATTAATTCAGCAAATGTTTATTAAGCCTGAATTTTCCAGGCACTGGATTATATGAACATTCTGTCTGAGTTGCTACTTTATCTTCTTCATTTTCCTTTTTCTGTCCTTCCGTTCTTCCTTTCTCATTAAAGTTTTAAAAATACAGTGAAAATTTAATATAATACCAGCTATTACACATATTTATATATTTGATATTTTTGTTTATTAAAGTAGTACAATGTATTATATTGGCAGCTTTTTATGGGTGTATTTCCATTTTTTGATTGTATTTGAGAGCTATCAAATATTACGCAATAAACTTTCCTTTTACTTTTTAAATCGAGGTCCATAGACCTGGCGTTTTGGGTATAGGGCGTATGCCAGAAATGGAAAATTCCAGACAGTGAGAAGAGAATAAAGGAACTGAAGGTGAATGAGAATGACAGTTAATAATTTATCAAGATTTTATTTCTACCACCTGGATTTTTACTTTATTATTATTTATTTATTTATTTGAGATAGAGTCTCATTCTGTTGCCCAGGCTGGAGTGCAGTGGCAGCGAGATCTCGGCTCGCTGCAACCTCTGCCTCCTGGGTTCAAGCTATTCTCTTGCCTCAGCCTCCCAAGTAGCTGGGATTACAGGCACTTGCCACCATGCTTGGCTAGTTTTTGTTTGTTTGTTTTGTATTTTTAGTAGAGACAGGGTCTCACCATACTGAGACAGGGTCTCATTATTTTAAAATGAGACTATATAGATATTTTGGCAGCTGATTAAATAGTGAAGAGGAAATGACCAATCATGTAAGGGATTTGGTCATACCTTTTGATTGCTTTGCTCTTGTTTTTATAAATTCAAGAAATACTGTTGAAAAAGAAGCTCACAATAATGAAAATAAAGTATTCCTAGAATAATTGATTTTAAAATACAGATGCTGTGAATAAGATCCTTGAAAAAGGATTTCATACAGCTAAGGTGGTTGGCACACCACATCAAGATTATAGCTGAGACAGCTGTTACTGTCATGGTAAAAAATAAATATTTCATTTGTTATGTTTTTAAAAATGGAGAGAAATGAGTATTTCAACATAGGTCTTGCTTGATTTTGAAGAGATAATTTGTATTATGCCCGTAACACCAAATGTTTGCGATTTCGAGGGAGGGAATTCTTCAGTCTTAGCCTTTTCTACCAAGCTAATTTAGTCTAATGGTTTTCTCAGTTTTTCCTTCATAGAGAATTTGGTATCAATTACTAAATGTTGTAACAAATTTGATAAGTGTTTCTAAGCAAGATGCAACTATATTTAACCTAATGATTTGTAAACTTAGATAGCATACTTGGACACCCCTCTCTTTAAAAAAAAAAAAAGTTTGTTGGACTTTTAAAAATATAGCTTTATTGAGGTGTATTTTAATGGAATATAGCCTGCATATATTTAAAGTATACCATTTCATTAGTTTTGACAAATATATCCTTGAAACCATCATTATAGTTAAGATAATAAACTTATGAATCACTCTTAAACATTTCTTTATGACCATTTATAATCCCCACTTTCCCCACTATCTCTCCTTACCCCAATACTGAGGCAACCATGAATCTGCTTTCTATCACTATATATTTAGTTTGCATTTTCTATACTTTTATATAAAAATGGAACATACTCTTTAGTATATGTTTATTTAGTACTCTTTTTTGGTCTTGTTTATTTTACTCAGTGTAATTATTTTGAAATTCATGCATTTTTTTGTGTATCCGTAGTTTGTTGGCTTTTATTGTTAGGTAGTATTCTATATTATGGGTATAATATAGGATATTTGGGTTGTTTTTAGTTATTACTGATTACAAGGAAAAAATTATGATCATTTGGGTACAAGCTTTTCTGTGAACAGATTTTCATTTCTACTGAGTCATAATAGTGGAACATCTGGGTCATGTGATAGGTGTATGTTAACTTTCTAAGAAGTTGTCAAGTTTTCCAGTATGACTGTATCACCAGCAGTGTGGTAGGATTCCATTTTCTTCACATCCTTGCAACATTTGGTATAGTTGGTCTTTTTTAACTTTAGCCATTCTAGTGGATGTATACTTATTCTGGTTTTAATTTGTATTTACTTAACCACTTATGACTAACAGTTTTGAGCACTTTTTTTACATAATTATTTGTCATTTATAGATCTTTTTTAGTGAGGAGTCTATTTGAATATTTTGCCCATTAGAAAATGAATTCCTTGTCTGTTATTGAGTTGTAATTGTTCTTAGTGTGTTCTAAATATAAGTTCTTTGTCAAACATATCTTTTGCATACATTTTTTCTCATAATATGTAGCTTGCCTTTTCTATTTTCTTAACAATGCCTTTTAAAGAGTGGAAGTTTTGACATTTGACAAAGTCCAGTTTATCAGGCTATTCTGGGGAGCATCCTTTTAGTTTTTGATCTAAGTTTGCTTAACGTAAGATCACAAAGTTTTTTTCTCAGTCTTTTCCTGTAGAAATTTTACAGTTTTTAGGTTCTAGGTTTAGATCTGTGATCTGCTTTAATTTTTGTTTATGACATATGAATCAAAGTTAATATTTTTGTATATGCGTAGTTAATTGTTTCAATGCCATTTGTTAAAAAAGATTGCCCTTTCTTGCCTTTGCACCTTTGTTGAAAGTCAGTCTTTATATATGGTGGATCTGTTTCTGCAGTCTTCATTCTGTTCCACTTATTTTTCTATTTTTATGCCGATACCGTACTGTCTTATTTACTGTAAGCTTTATTATAGATCTTTAAATCAGATAGTGTAAGTTCTTCAACTGTGTTCTGTTTTCAAATTTGTTTGGGTATGCAGTCTTTTACAATTCCATATAAATATTAGAATTAGCATACCAAGTTTTACAAAAGGCTGCTGAGATTTTGATTGGGATTGTGTTTTATTCTGTAAATCAATTAGGGGAGAATTGCATTGCCATCTTATCAATACAGGTTGACTATCTGTCATCCAAAATGCTTGGGACCAGAAGTGTTGTGGATTTCACATTTTCTTGAGTTTGTGAATATTTGCATAGACATGAGGTATCTTTAGAATGAGACTGAAATCTATGCACAGAATTCATTTATGTTTCATGTATACCTTATACACACATCTGAAGTATTTTTATACAATGTTTTTGATAATTTTGTGCATGAAATAAGTTTTTGTACATTGAACCATCAGAAAGCAAATGTGTCACTATTTCAGGCACCCATGTAGACAATCTGTAGTTGTTTGGTGTCATCATCATTCCTGACTCTGAATTTACATGCTACAAACAAGCAATCATTTTCTTATACCTATTTACATATAAGTACTTTATGGTAAAAATACGATATACTGTTAATACTGTGAAGAAGAATGTGTTCAGGGTAACTAAGCAGAACAGTAGCGTTACCAGAATACCTGTATCAGCTGTTAAACAGCAGTAAGAACAATGGCAGGCTTTTAGTTTCTATCCACAATGATGTGTTTTGATTAAAGGTTTTTCAATAAAGTACAACGTACTTTATTACTATTGTTCGTGTGTCTGGCCTGCATGGGTGCCATTTTATGACCCTTTGTGGGTGGGCTCGGTGGAGTAAGAGAGGCATTTGTAGATTAGCTATCTAAAGCTCTCTTCAGAAGTTACTAAAGGCTATATCCTTATTTGTCAAGGATAAGAATTCTGAACTGTTTAGTTGCAGGCCAAGTAGTGAAGTATGCAGTATTTGTCTGTGATGGAATTTTGCCTTCCTTGGTACCTCTTTGCCTGGAGATCATGCTGATTTTGTTCTTCTCTCTTTTGCCTATAGTGTCCTATCTAGGTTTCTCCTTTCTGAGCTACGCAAATGCTTCAGAAAATGTAACCATTCTGAATCCTGTTATTCCAAGTTAGCTGAAACTTCTTGTCAGATAGCTCCCAATTGAAAAGCCATTGGATTAAGGATGCATTACCTTTCCAGAGGGAATTTTATTTTTTTACAGCTTTTACTGGGACGTAATTCATATATTATACAATTTACCCATTTATATTACAAAATTCAGTGGCTTTTTAGTATATTCACAGATATACCAAATCACCACAGTCA